AAAAAAGGTCTTTGATACATGACTCCCTCACGACTCGATCCCCTACCGTCCAGTCTATATGCGCCGTCTTATACCATTACACCACCGAGTTTCTGATGCGATTCCTCGGAAGATAACATACTTATAAATCTTATGGATTACGCTCATTAGGAATAGCATGAATAGCAGACAAAGACAATTTGAATAGCTTTTGTTTCAGAAAACCGTCCGGGAATTGAAGAACAACAAACGGTGCTTCATGTATTCTAAATTATGAAAACTGAAAACCTTAGTGGAGATGCAATAAATCAATATATTTCTGTTATATGTATTTCCTTCGCTTTTTTTCTCTCCCGAATAATTAATGAGTTTTTGAAGTCGTTCAAAGGCCTCCAATTCGGACTTGACGGGATTTCAAAGTCCTTGCAATTAGTTCCAGTCCGAGGCGCTAGCCGAGGACTGGAACTAATTGCAAGGACTTTGAAACCCCGTCAAGTCCTCATTGCCGGCCTTTAAACATTACATACAACACGGCCACTCATACTACCAGTATGAACGATTTCAAAGCGATACATAAAAGCACATGGCATAAGTTCTATTTCTGCGCATGCGCGAGTCCAAAGTTCGTGTTTCTACCACAGGTAGCCCAAAATCAAACAAAACAGTCAGGGTCAATAGGCCATTTGCATTATGACGTAACTTTACTACAACTACCAGAGAGCCTTGCGCATTTTCATTGTTATTCAGATTTTTAATCCCCTTGGAGATTAATAAAACCATTGGCACTAATTGCATCACAAAAGAAGTTGGCAAAGCATTCTGGTAGTTGTAGTAAATGACGCCATAATGCATATCGCCTATTAGAATGTAAACAAACTCAATAAAATAGTTGAAAAGTACTTTATTCACTGCTAAAATATAATAAATTCTGTTTTCATTCTGTTGTTTAAAGGGCTACTTGGACAAAAATTGCAAAAAAAAACTTAAAATAGAACTATCCATATGGGTCTAATAATCATGAAGCAACAGATTTCAAGAAGATATTGATACAAATCCTTAATCATTTGGTCAAAAAATGTTGGAGTAAATGACGTCATTTACTCCATCCTTTTGTTCTTCCATCTTTTGAATCAAAATTT